ATTGGAGCTTTGAAAGCTGAAATATAAAGGCAGCAATTTTTCAAAGTGGAAATTTTTTTTATTGGAAATTATTTTCAAAAAATGAAAGGAAGAATATTTCATAAAAATGCGTACACTGCAAGAAATATAAGCAAAACCAAAACAAATATAGGATTTAACATATTAGTTTTACTCTGAAATGGTAATATTTAGATGAAAAAAAGTTGATAAGAAAACCAACAATGCAAACTCAATATAGAAGTATAGTTCATAGATAGTAAGAATCAATAAATAATGCTACATGAGAATAGAATCTGATTGATCAATAGAAGATCAAAAGTTCCATTCACCTCAAAAAAAAAATGAAAAAAAAAACGTAAAGACAAAATTAGAAGAAAGGGAACACATAAAGTTTGTAAGCATATAGAAAGGTATTTACCTCAACATCCAAATGGAAAATTCCATGAGAGTTCATATAATTTTGTAATCAATGATATTCCACAATCATGTAAGACCATTCATTGATTCATTCATATAGATCAAAAGCATGCATACTGCGGCTTGTAATTATAAAGAAAGGGAAACGATAAAGTTTGTAAGCATATAGAAAGGTACGTACCTTAATATGCAAATAATCATGTCATTTTCAAATTAATAAAGGACAAATCTCTCGATCCTATAAAATATAATATGCTCAACAATAATTATTTAAAATATACATTCTAAACTCTTAGGGAAATAAATCTAGTGAAGTGAGACAAAATTAAAAGGGTTGGTTGAAAATAGAGCGAGGAAATTAGTACCTTTAAATCTACGGGAGCTTCAAAATTCTCTATGTAAATCGGCCCTATTTGGACTTTCTTAAGCCATGGTGCATCCAACTTTCCGGAACAAAACTTCTTCAATTTTGGGCAACTCACTAAGATCAATGTCGTGAGTAGGGAAAATTTAAACTCATAATCCTCCTGATGACTACCACTAAATCTTCGAAGATTCTTAAGGCGTTCCAACTGCAAAGAGCTTAATCTAGGAAACACAAACTCCTTGCTGGTTTTTCCCAGTGCAATTTCTCTACGTTTTCCAATGTCATGATGCTGAGCATTATCTTCTTGGCTGACCTCTTCATCTTCCTCACCTATAACTTCACACATTTCCGAGCACCCACGAACTTTCAGTTCCTCAAGACTTATGAGCATGGTGGCCACACTAGGAGGATGAAACAAATAGTTTAAAGGGCAGTTGTTCACATCTAGACTTCTCAACTTTTGGAATACTCGAACCCCTTCAGGAAAATTCCTCCAAATATGGGTTAATCTTGACAGTCACGCAAGTCTAGTGACTCTAGTTTGGGAGAATTTCGAGTCCCTTTTTTGACAGCATATTACGAACTTTTAAACCCTCAAAGTTGACAAGGGATTCCATCTCACTACAATGCCGCGTGCGAAGTGCTTGCAAGTTTTGTAATAATGTAACCGTATCAGTTTTGGCAATGCATCGGATAGATTTACATCGCCCGAGATTCACGGATTTTAAGTGTAGACACCAAATTTTTGATTTTTTTTAACTTTATTTGTTTGATTAATTCAGTCTTAACTTTATTTGTTTCAATTCTAGGGTTTTTATTTTATTTTGTTTTATTTTATTTTTTATTTTTTATTTTGTTCTAGTTTATTTTATTTTGGTTTTCATACTAAATTTCAGAAAAGAAAAAAAAGAAAAGGGAAAAACTTTTCAAGATATGCAAACTCAAAATCACTAAATTCCTTGCAGTAGAAAAATGCACTCTAGAAGGAAGAAGAAAGCTTCGATTCTGAGTTGCATGATCTCTTCGGAATTTCGTTTTGGTCCTTCGACTTTTACATAATTTCATTTTGGCCCGAATACTTCTGCAATTGAACCATTTCCGCCCCCATTGAGATCTAATTCTCTTTCTCCGTATTTCAAATCCAGTTTTTTTTGAGCAAATAATTTCTGAAATTTAGAGTGCAATCAGTCTTTTAATAAATTTTAGTAGATTTTTATTGTTGGGTTTAATAAGAATAGTTGGAGGATTAGATTAAGTTTTGTTGTTGGTTTATGACTTTGGGTTTTTGGTTTGGGCCAAGGGGTAGAAGCCCATCGGTTTTATTGGTTAATCTTTGGGGCCAAAATAGTAGACTGGCCTACTTCTTTTACCTTGGATTTTCGGTTGGGTTTGGGAGGTCTTAGCCCATGAAAATAAATTCCATGGCGCAATGGCCTGTCTGACTAAGAATCTGGTGACCAAATTTGCAAATCAGTCCCTGGATTTCTCCTTAACTATACTGTGGCCCTAGGCACTTTTCACTTCTTTTAATTGGGTCCTTAATTTTATTGTAAATAGGCCCCTAAACTTTGTTTTTCTTTAATTGTGACCCCAAAGCTTGTTAATTTTTGCAATCAAGTCCTTTCTTCTTTTGGCTTCTTAAATGTGGGCTGTCTACATGATTTAATTGATTCAATTTCATGTTACTTTTATCTTTTGTGATTATTTCTTGATTAAAGTGATGCCTTGACCCTTTTATTGTTTTGAAGCTAATATTTCTCCTTCATTTGATTCCCAATTCAAGGGAGGTATAACTTCTTTTATCTTTCTTGTCTCCCCTATGTGATCCAATGTGATAAGTGAGAATTGCATGTCTACTTTGTTTTCCTTGCTTTTTCTTAATCTCTTTCATTTATTTCATTTACTTTTGCTTTTAATTAAGTTATTCTTTTATGGGGTATGTGTACACCTCTTGGCTTGTAATAGATAGGGCTTGGAGAGCACTTGATGAAGACCTATTAAAGACGTGTGCCTAACTAGCAAATGTAATAGGTTTATTAGCTTGATTGCTTGCTTTTGTTGCTATGTGTTAATTTGCTTTATTAGGCTCTTGCATTTAGTCGAGCATGCTAAGTGTTATGTGCTATGTGTTTATGAGTGTTTGACATGTCTACTTGCTTTCTATAGTCGTAGATGAATGTGATGGATGAATGTACGTCACCACACTAGTCCAATGCTAGTTGTGGCTCATTATTCCGTTAGGAATTCATAAAAAGGGCTAGTCCAACGCTAGACCCAATAGGCCACCCCCTTTTCATTAGTGCATATTTGCCTGTTCACTACATGTCATGCATTTTTCTTAGTTTTATCATTTGGCATGCTCCTCAAACCCCTTTTCCCCTCATTTTAGGCTTTTGCATCTCATGCTAGTTATAGGGTACATTTGTTTGAAGAGTCCCCTTTTGATAAAGGAAACGAGCGAGTGTGGCTCTAAAATAACCTTAGCACGCTAGTTCTCCTTTCTAATCAAAAGGAAAATTGAAGTCACAAAGTTAGGACTCCCGTTCCCGTCTTGATGCATTCCTATAGGATTCATGCATTTTATTCATTCACTATCACATACACTTCTACTTTATATTCTATCCCTTTTTCCATATTCTCACTTCACACGATTTTAATTTTGCACGTTTTCACTCAACTATTTATACTTTATAAATATCACTCGCACACATGCACTTTATGTGTAATACATTGACACATTACCATTTTTTTTACTCACCTTACCTTGTAAATCCATTTTACCCACTTCCACTTATGCCCTATTGTTTTATCACTTTTTTTCACTTCACACAAATTTACATTTTTACATGGCATGCATTCCTTTCACTCATTTTTATGTCATTTATTACGTGTGACCTCTCCAAAGGATCATTATTGGGCTTCACAATTAATGTGATTGGCACCACTCAACCTTTGAAGAGAAATTTCCCCATCTACCCCTAGGTCTAGGGTTTGCATTCATGTAGTACATCCAAATGTAATAAATTCTTTGGTTAAAACAAGAAAATCTTTGATTAAATCACGCAACTAGCCTTGGCTAGGTCGAAGGGGTGCCTTGGATTTTTATCATTGCCTTCCCCTTCGACAAATGTGACTCCCGAACCTTTTTCGTTGGTTTACGTGGACTAGGAGTTGTTTAAAAGGGGTTTCTTACTACTTTTTCCTATTTTTCTTTAAAAATTCATTTTTAGGTGACTTGGTACACCTTAACTCATTACCAAGTGGCGACTCCAATTTTTTATTTCAAAAACCCTTTTTAAACTATAATTTTGGGTCAAATCGTCGCATTCTCAAACCTCCATTTAGACCTATTTTTCTTTTAAATCACAATTCATTTTTCAATCACAAATTAAATCAAAAAATACATTTTTAAACCATTTATTTATTTATCAAAAAATGGGGCGCGACATTAAGTTGTCAAGGGACCCACTAGGCATTTTCCCCCCTATTAGTTGTTCGGGGCCATCACTAGGATAAGTAATCTCTAGTACTGCTAGGCAGGGGAGTGAAAACTGAAAAATTAGGCAAACTTAGCCCCATAATGCAAAATGCAATATGCAATTACAGTAGTGTTCGGATCCATCTAGCTACTAGCAATCTATTTGTTACGCTTGATGACGTGACAGACACACCACTACGTCACTAGAGCACCAAAATTATTGTTGTCAATATTTTTATTACCCTATTTTTATTCATCATCATTGGACTTTTAATTACTAGTACTGCACCAAACAGCCTTTTTTTTTGGGCAAACTCATTGAAGACCTACAATATAACTGATGAAACATTAATTTTGAAAATATAATTAACATATTGAGAAAGAAAGTGCTTGAGTGTGTTTTTGGTGTTCACCTGAATTCAACTATATTAAGTATATCATATAATTACACAAATTAAGAGAGAGAGAGAGAGAGAGAGAGAGAGAGAGAGAAGACAGACCTGGTTAGACAAAGCAACAGCTTTATCATATTTAGAGTCAAAACCAATAAAGCTTGTCCTGCGTAAGGCAAACACTTTGAGTTGGGGTAGTTCAAGCACTTCCTCTGCTAGACTTTTCTCCCTCAGAGCAATTCTCTTCAAATTTTCACAATCAAATACATATATCTTTTGGAGTTTCACTAGACATTTTAGTGCCAATTGTGAGAAGAGAGTTGTAATATGATGACAACCGCTTACACTAATAGATTTGAGGTTGCAAAGCGACGGAGGTTCGACTGATCCCTTCCACAAGCACTCTAAAGCACTTATACAATAAAGTGTCACCTCTTGAAGTTGATTGAAGCACCCAGGTGGAAGAAATCCGTAACATATTTCTTTCAACTTCAAATATTCTAACTCCGTGGACTTCAAAAATATGTTTAGCAATGAGGTTGGCGATAAAATCAATAAGGCATTCACAGTGTCCATAATACAGATCAAGCTTTTTCAAATTGATGAACCCATTTTCATCCAAGTTAGGCATAAGATTCCTCAAGCGTGATGAGTAAGAAAGATTTAAAATGAGATTCTCAGTTCTCTCTACAATGCTAGTAACTTTAGGATCAAACACTTGTTTCAACCCTTCATCACCACCACCTTTCAAATAAAGATTGAAACTTTTTTGAAATTGATAGCTTCGATTCAAATTGATTGCTCCTCCGTGATTAGTTACTGTAATGTTAAATCTTGACAAACTCTGAGTATCAAATTCTTGCAAAGATAGAAGTAAGAGGTTAAGGCCATATAAAACAATTTGGAGCCATGCAAGGTTAGAGATTGCTGAGATCTCTTTAAGGCATCCTATTTCCTCTTCTTTATCTCTCCCTAGCTGCAAATGATCACGAGATCCCAAATACAATTCTTCTAGTTTCTTCAAGCTTGACAAGATACCATTAGGCAAGGGATGGAGGCTACTTTTAACACTCAAATCCAACAACTTTAAATTACTCAATTGAGCGATTTCTGTTGGAGATTGATCATCTGCAAGTGTGGATTGAAAGAGGCTCAAAGTTTCCAATTGCGTCATGTGTCCAAGCATTGACGACAATCCAGTGCCCAACCTACAAAAATCCAGGCACCGTATCCGAAGACTTCTTAGTATTTGGTTAGGCCATGATAGTGGAAATTCAATTTGCGAGTGGTTTAACTCCATGACCCTGAGAGCTTCCATTCCTACAAAAGAATCTTTTGGTAGGTTTAATTTCCCTGAATTGAATTCCAAACGCAACAGCCTAAGCCTTGGATATTCCTTGCAAAATGGAAGTAGATCATGATTGCAATCTTGTGATATTAGCAAAATTGCCGTGTAAGAATTCTTTTTTCCCACTCCAGAATTGCTCACTAAAAACTCATGCTCTACATTTGATGCAATTGACAAGCACACATCTCGCACAACATCGTGCAATTTTATAGAGTCTTCTTTTTCACCATCATTTAGCAACAAATAGGAGCTTTTTAACTCATCAACTAGCAAGTATTCTCTGTATCCTGGAACAATTGTAGCCCTTTTCCATACCTAACCAAGCATTCGATCGGAATACTATAATCCTCTGGAAATGAACTACAAAGCAAAAGTAGGTGCTTAGCTTCAGAAGTTCCCAAATGATTATAGCTCCACTCAATTCTTAAAAACACCAGATCTTGAACACCTCTTAGGTTTCCCATTCTATCCTTTCTTAGTTGCCGAAGGGCAAGATCCCAGGATTCTAGAGTATGATTGCTTTTTAATGCCGTGGCAACAACAACGATTGCAAGAGATAGACCTTTGCATTCCTCTACAACCTGCTTTGCAACACCACTCAAAGCAGAATCATCTGAAATTTCTGCAACCTCTTTAAAAAGATGCACGCTTCTTTTTCAGGCAAGACATTCACCTTAAAAAGTTCAGCTCCCATGTCCCGACAAACACCTGAGGATCGAGATGTCAGTATAACTTTGAAGCTCTTGCATTCACCTTTGATGGGAATTCCAAAACTCTTAAAATCAACTTCTTTCCAAATGTCATCCAATATAACAAGAATTCTCTTGTCACGACCAGTCAGTTTCATATACAATCTTTCAGCTCTGGCAAGATCAGATTGCTCAGTTTGCTCTGTTATCTTCAGCCCTAATTGCTCAGCAAGTTGATCTTGGTCATTTCTCATGTATGGACTTTGAGACACAGTTGCCATGGCGACTTCATCAAACAATTTTTCGAACTTAACCTGGTCAACAATTTGTTTGACTAGAGTAGTTGATAAGGGTTTATTTTACGCATTTTTAAGTGCATTTTATTAGTTAATTTTGGTTTGATTATTTAGTTTTATCACTAAAATAACTAGGTTTTGGTAAAAATCTACATTTTATGTTAAAGTGACTAACATTGCATTTTTATTGATTTTGATGGTAAAAAGTTCATTTTCATGCAGGATTAATGATCCAATCACCAAAGGATGTCAATTGAGGTGAAAAATGGATATTTGGTGATAAATGTAAGTGATAAAAAAGAAATGAAGTGAAGTGAAGAAATGCAAGTGAGAACAATTTTGACACATTTTCGTATTTCGACTATATCTGGAGCTACACATATCAGATTGAGGTGATCTTTATACCATTTTGAAGCTAAGAGAGAAATCTATATTTGGTATGAAAACATCGAAATCCGATTCTGCTGTTTTCTTTGTGACAAAGTCGAAATAGAGAAGCTGCACTCTATGGACAAGAATGAAAGAGGAGACTGACCAGTTGTTGGTATTTCAATCATATCTCAGTCTAAAAAGCTTCGATTTAGATAATTATTGAAGAATTGGACAGCTATTTCAAAGAACTACAATGTATATGTTTTGCATAAAAGCTAGTTCGGCCCCCATCATAGAGAAAATTGCAGTTGAAGTGAGGTCAATTTCACCGAGTTGAAAACGCGAGTCAACAAAAGGTGGCTTGAAGCCGCGTTTTCTCAAGTTGCGTTTTGTAGCCGAAATTTTGCAATTTACTCAGCCATTTCTCTTGTATTCATACTACTTTCCATCTACAAATTGCAAGGGAATTCAATGCACATGCTTCAGAAGACAAAAGGGCAGACAATATGGCTTATTGTCAAGTCAAAAACCTTTGTTATTGACTATCTTAACAAATTTCAGATTTGGAAATTAAGAGGTGGAATTTGACTTGAAAAAAAGAGCTTTTGAGCAGTTTTTATATAGAGACATTTGGTGAGGTCAGAGGGACATACGGGAGAAAGCTTGGAGAGTGCAGAAATGTAGTTCTTCCATTTTTCCTTAGTGTAGGATAGTTTAGCTAGTTAGTTCATCCTTCTTGTATATTAGCTAGATTAGGATGAAGATGGAGATAAAGAAGGAGGAGTTGAAGCTCAAGTGACATGGGCTATCTCTTCTCCAACTCTTTATCTTTTGTACTTGATTCCAAGTTTAGTTAATATGCAAGTTCTGGATTTTATGTTATTTATGTGTCTTTAAAGTTTATGCCTTGGGTTTGGTTGAACTTTCTATGATTGTTAGTGTTTATTATTTGGCTATTTGATTGCTATGATTTGAGCAAGTTATTTAGCATTTTAGCTCTTTAAATCATGATTAATCTGGTACCATTAATTGTGATTATCTAAGGTGTTGTTTCTGCAATGAAAATTGAGATTTAACACTGATTCAAGAAGTGCTAAACCTAGGGAGTACACTCACGAGAGTAGAGTTGCACCTATGTGATTTTAAGTGATTCATTTCATGTAATTTCATTGAAGAAATGAACTTGTAACTAATTTCATAACCATGAGAATAGGTATGGATTAGTTTTGAGTATAATTGATTCACTACGAAAGTAGAATTCATATGCATAAGGAAATTACACTATAACTAGCCTAGATAGTAGTATTCAATGATCCAAATATAGTACTTGCATGAGTAGTTAGGGATATCATAACCTAAGGAGTTTTCATTTGTTATTTTGCATAAGTTCAGTAGGTTTCATTTCTTATAATTCATTGATAGTCTAAATAATAGAAAAACTTTAGTAGTATCGGTAATTGTTCACTCTTTCTCGTGGGATCGACTCGATAGATACCCTAAACTACTAGTTGACATGTGTACTTGCAGTGAAATGGGTGTAAATTAGATTTTTTAACTTGTACGTATATAAAAAACTCGTCAGTAGTCTTGCCTACGCCGCCCATACCACAAATCGCCATTAGGCTAGTTTTCTCCTGCTTTACAGCTTCCATCACTTCCTTCTTTGTTGACATCCTAGAAACTAGGCCTTCTTCCACGGACGGAATTAATTCACCTAACAGCATTTTTCCCAATGAAGGAAGGTATCCAACTTTATCAAATTACCCCTCTCCTAAGAGTTTTTCAACAACACTCGTTCTTTTCACCGCACGTCGGCCTAGCAAATAGCATGACTTCAAATTCGGAAGCCTGACAATATTAAAGCAATTCACCTTAGCTGTCTCCATATCCACAAAAATAGTATGTGCATCTTTCTTTACATCCTCAACTCGTTCCAGTCCTTAACTCGTTCCAGCCAACCAATAACAGTTGGTTTAATTTCTTCAGCATTGTCTTTTGCTCGATCTACCGCTTGTTGCACCTCAGTTTCCTTTTGCTCAAGTTTTCTGACGTCATCGCTCAGAGTTTGAAAGCTACTTTTGTAGAAAATTAAGTACTGAAATTGGCGCAAAATTGGATTGACACACTTCCCTACAATTGTTCCCACGATTGAATTGACAATTTCTAGGATTGCCATTATTGCAAAATTCTGTTCAAATTTCTATTACTGTGTTATTTGAAAGATATAGAAAAAGGAATCTAATAAATTGCATGAAAAATATGACAAGGATACGTAAATAAGGTAATAAAAATTGTGTAAGAGTAGAAGTATAAAGAAGGAAAAAAAATGTTAGGCATGGAATTGAATTTAGTGAAATGTTTCTGGAAAAAAAAAAGTAAAGGATACAAATAACTTATAAATTGTTCTCACCAACAAATATTTTTTGCATAGATTGTTTTAGATTTTTGTAGAACTATTTTCGATAATACATGAGGTACAGTTTGGTGCAGAGTTATATTACATTTTCACCTATTTGACAAAAACTGTAAGTTTTCATATGTCCAACAATTGATGAAATGTTGTCAATACACAATCTTAGGGACAAAAATACCGCTTTGACTGTAAAGTATGTTAGTCTCTATAAAGTGTGTCAATGTATTTGAAAGAAAACTGTAAAGGGTAGTTTCACAGGTATAATGATGCTTATCCTCATTGCTTTAGCAGGATTATTAAACTTAAATAGCCGAAATGTCTCAAAAGCTTTTTATGTTTTCTCTACATGCTTAAATTTGAAATAACTTGCAATCATTTCAAGTCTGATGAGTAAATCATTATTAATTCATGATAATTTTGATGTTAATGAAAATTATGATTAACATGAAACAATTCAACAAATTTAGGAATCTAAAGATAAGAAAATCCTTGACTCGGCGTAGAGCAATGACTGAAAAACGTCATTACAAATCTAATTGACTTCGTTGTTTGAAGAAATCTCAAAAGAAGATTAGAAATGGAAATCTAATTGACTTTGTTGTTTGAAGAAAAAAATTAGCAGTGACGTCTTTTAATCAAATTAACACGTGTACATTGTAGAAACCACCAATCAATTCTAGCGGCATTTAGTAAAACAATGAATAAGTTCTTCATCATTGTATATCACAAATCTGTTATGTGTATCTAAATACATAATCTATAAGAAAGTTTGTTGGTCTAGATCAAAAGACTACTCAAGTAACTCTACTTTTATTTGTATTAGCGAGAAAAGCACACCCTATGGGTTGCAAATTTGAAAAAAATAATTTAGTTGTTTTTATTAAAACCAACAGAAGTTATTAGAATTTTTTGACAAATAAAAAAAGAAGTTATGATTTTTCATAGGCAAACAAACCAAAAAAATAGAATTTACTGGATGTGGAAGTTACTAAAACTTACTAAACTTAAAGTAGTTGTCTTTAGTAAATCTTTACTTTTGTAAGGGTAAAATTGAAGACCTAAAAGATGATATGAAATTTTAATACCAGATCCCCTCCTTATGCTTTATATATAGAAAAATTGAAGATAGCACAAATGTAAATCACACTAAGGTTAAGTAAAAGTGAGTATAGTTAAGTGCATCTATTAGATCAGAGGAAGGGAGTGTAAGCGAGAGATCTCAAATTCGAATCCTTCCACTTACACTAAACAAAAAAAGTAAATTGTTTTAAATTAGATAAAAATGTTTGTATATTAGATAAAAACCTATTCAAGGTCCTAATCATTTGAGCAAGTCAAACCAAATTCAACTGTCATGCAAGTATTTCGCGAATTCATCCATATCAATAAAAAGTATACATAATGCATATTGAAAATTAAAATCACCATCCTCCCAAACCTCCCCAACCACCCTTCCCCTACAAAAGAAAAATAAAAGTAAAGATATATGAGATTAAGCTAAAAGATATAGAACACTAGCGTTTGCAAGCTTATGACGTTTATGTACCTTAACATCTAGACAACTCTATTTGTCTCTTCTTTTCGTATCAATAATAGAATTGAATGCCTCAAAAAGGTGACCTCTCTTTCTTGTGAAATACATACTCAGAGATAATTAATGAAAATGTGAATTCTCAACTCTTAGGAAAACTAAAATATTGTGAAGTGAGACACAAAATTAAAAGGTGAAATTAAAAGAATTAAGATGTATGTACCTTTAAATCCACAGATATGGCTTCATTCTCTACTACAACTTTCTTAAGATTTGGTGCATCCAACTTTCTGGAACAAAATTGCTTCAACTTCCTGGAGCACATTATTTTCAAATGAGTTAGACAAGAAAATTTGAATGCACAATTCTTGCGGTGACTACCACCAAGCTTAGAAGATTTTGGAGGAATATTATAGTTGTACTTACATAATGTATTGTTATATATAGGCACAAGTATTTGGTACCTGTATGTGACACATGATAGTTTTTTTTTAAATGATTATAAGATAATATTGATTTTTGTAGTAAGCCCTTTTGTCTTTTTAAAAGCTTCAACCCCATGTTAACTCCAGAAATTGCGAGTGCAATTTCTCCAAATTTCCTTTCTTTATTCACCCATCAATTGTCCAAGTTTTTGTTCACAACTTTTTTCAAAAACAAAAATTAAATCCTAAACCACGCAAAGCCAAAATCAGTTCCTAGTATACCTAATAATTCCTTCCAATATATTATTAACATCCAAAAATATGTAGTGGCTGATTTCATGCAAAAATTAAACATCGAAAACAAAAGGCAAAATATGAGACACAGAACCGGCACAGTAGCTAAAAATACATTTTTTTAAATGAAAAACACTAAATTTTACTTGAAGATATTGTTCATGCATGTCGTGAAAAACCAAGCACAAGAAGCATATCAATGGAATAATAACAAAGTAGACATCACGAATAGAATGTAATGTATATGTTTTGAAACTCCGACTGTTAATTGAACCGGCGATATGTTTGGGTCACGGTTTAACCATGATTCACTGATTTTTTTAAAAATAAATTATATAAATATATGTGCACAGAATAAGACATTCTATAGACTAATTTGAGACTTTATCTGATAAAAAGTTTAATGTTTTCAAAGAACTTGAACTTTCACAAAATTTTTAAATTATAAGTTCAAACAAATAAAATTTTATCTCAATTGTATCTACCAAAAAATGATCTTAAATTCTATCCAAAAACACCACAATATTTTGAAATTAAACAAAATTCATGTCTTTGGGTATCAAACATTGTGAGTTTAAACTTTTAACCATATCTTTTGGAATTAAAGATTGCAACTTTGATTTAAAAATAAAATTTGAAGCCTGGAGAAAGTTAGGAAACTAGAAAATAAAGATGAAAACTTGATAAAAGACAAAAGCCAAGAAGAAAGTGAGTAGGTATCACAATTAGTGATTAGTCTTTAGGGTTAAGGAGAACTTTTTTTATTTTTATTTTTTTCAATTTCATAGCCAGAAACAAAAAAAACTTAGTTCAATGGTTCATTCTAATCAGAATGGTTCACACAGTTCTTACCAGTTCTTAAATCCCATCAATCCAAAGTATGAACCAGATCAGAACCATGGCTGGTTCATAGTTTGACTAATTAAACCGACCAGTCCAACCCGGGTTTCAAAACAATGGTAAAGACTTATAGTAAAGCATAGATTTTTTGGACACTTAATATAGAAGTTACAATCGATAATGCAAAGAATGATGAAAAGCAGATTGATGACATTGAAGGGAGAGTCGAAGGAAGAAGAAGATACAAGGGAGTGAAGTCAACGATTCAGTATAACAAAAAAGACCACTATATTTGAGGATAAACTTCGTTTATAGGAATTTAGAAATTTAGTGGCCTTCTTAGTTATTTACCAAATTTAAAAGAAATCATCTCAAGGGCTTAACATGCATTGGTAATAGCTATCAGTACTTTGTTTTTTTTTTCCTACACATAGGGTCAAAAAATGAATTTACTAAAATGCCTATGTACCAAGTAGTCAATTGTTCCATAAAAGATTCAAATAACTCTCAAATTATTAAAAAGTCCCAAAGCAAGCACTTGAAAGTTGAAGTCGTGTGAATACTAACATATGAATTTATATATATGTTTCCCTGTATTCATATTCTTATCCAAGGAGCTTCTCATGGCTAGTTGATCAATTAAATACATTCATAACAATGCATGTACTTGTTGGTTATTATTATATTATAGATCGGTATATATATGCTTGTGGGTTACTATTATTATTATTATTATTTACTTTACTCATATTCTTATCTAGATCTTCTCATGGCTCATCAATTAGATATGTGTTATAACAACTCATGTACTTGGTGGTTATTATTGTATTATGGATCAATGTGGGTATTTTTTGTTATAATCGGCATCATTGGTTTGGAGTAGAACAATATTTGTTTAATTTTGTTATATAAGCGGTGGGTGTAGTTAAGTAAACAATCATTAGTAATAAACATAGTACTTTTTTGGTTATAATGTTACGTCTTACCACCATCATAACAAAACTTATTACCTTTACAGCTAAAATTAATACTTAGTTGGAAAACTTACCATTTAATCCTGGTGACAGAAGAAGCCATAGCCGTGTTTTCTTGTTCTTATACTTCTACTTAAACAATGCATGGACATTATGACAAATTATGCAAAATTATGATTATGATTTGTGGTTATACACCCACAAAAAAAAAAAAACATACTTAGGTGTTGAACCGAAAGAGAAATTGAAAAATATAAGCACATACCTCCTTTTGTTGGATTGATTGAAAATCAGGATGATAATCCCAACAGAGAATTGCTGAGAGATATAAGTGAAGTCGTGAATAGGTAAAATGAGGGACAAAGAATTCATGAGTGGGAATGTTGAGAAACTACAATCAACATCAAAGCAAATTTATAGGGGATAGATATGATACCTTGCTAATGCAGCTGGAAATAGAAATCCCATTTTTTATGAGTAGTTATTACACTATACCATACCTCTTAGAATGGTAACCATCACTTTTATTTTTTCCCCGTCACTTTTACTGTTCTAAAGGAAATAAAGTTACACAATTCGACGAGTAATATTATGGGGACAAGTCAAGAATCAAAGCCTGAAAAGGCAAAATTCAAAACAATTATGGTAGAGTAAAGATTGCTTCTGGAAATTCGTTAGCCCATCGATGACTCGATCTCATTTCACGAAAGAATATTGAAGATGCGAAAGGTGAACTTCGCTTTAACATGTGAAAAACAAGATCTAACTTTTATGTTCATTGTTCAATATATTTATGTCTAATATATTCACACATACACGGGAGGAGCCAAAGCTTGGAATTTGGGTGGCAAAATTTATAAATACATTTCCTTAAGGGGCACTCTTATACTTTTGTACAAAAAAAATTGGGTACTTACATTGATACAAGTGAAAACTTTTAGTATGTTAAGGGAGTATAAAAGGACTTTTAAAATCTTGGGAGGGCAAAATCTAGTTTTTACAAGGACGTATGTGAAATATTAACAAATTTTTTAAGGGATATAAAAGAATTTCTTAAATCTTAAGAGGGCACTTGCGCCTCCCTACCCCTCTTGCATTCGCCATGTACACATATATACAAGTACACTTGTTTGAATCTGGAAAAGGTACCGTTATATTATGTTTGGTTTTGCCTACTTGTAGTCACTACAATATTAAATTTACAGGTTTTTATCAGTTTACCCCCTTAAACTATATCCCAACTATCAGTTTAGTCTCTAACGTTAACTTTTAGTCACTTAAGTCCTTGGACTAACGGTCAAATAAGAAGACATTTTATAATTCACATAAAAAGACATGTTTAGATCCAACTTAATTATAAATGGACAAATATACCCATAAATTGCTCTGCTAATATGTGAGAATTGCTTCAATCTTTAAAAACTCGCATGTTCTTATAATTTGGAAAATTATGAAAAGAAAAGGACCACTAGGGAAAATTTTTTTACTAACATATCACTTGAGAAAAAATAGACTTTATAATGGAATAACTATAAAATTTTCTTTCTAAGATTGTCTTTGCTCGATGACGTGCAAACAGGTTATGAAATTCCACACTTCGATATCATCATATTTGCAATGTCTTGACAAGGTATTGCATAAAATAAAAAATTTTGTAAGCAATTTAAGAAAATAGAGGAGAGAAAAGCTTTCTAATCCTTGTTTTATACTTAAAGCACAAGGAGAGGGTATTTTTGTCATAAAATTTTTCACCAAACTTTAGTTAGTTAGCAGGGCAATTTATGGATATATTTGTCCAATTATAATTAAGTTGGATCTAAACATATCTTTTTACGTGAATTATAAAATAGGGTTTTTATTAGTTTATCCCCTTAAACTATACCCCAACTATCAGTTTAGTCCCTAACGTTAACTTTTAGTCACTTAAGTCCTTGGACTAACTGTTTGACCGTTAGTCCAAGGACTTAAGTGACTAAAAGTTAACGTTAGGGACTAAACTGATAGTTGGGGTATAGTTTAAGGGGATAAACTGATAAAAATCCTAAATTTACATCAATCCAAGGACGGAACTATGGAAGGGCATGAAGGACCATCTTCTCCCCCTTTTTCCTTTCTTAAGTTCTTCATATTCATTTCTTTTTCCTTAAAATTTTGAAAAACTCCTATGCATTTTAAGCTATTTGCTTACCTCAACCAAAAATTTTCAAAAAAATGTTAGGTTGATTCAAAAGTTTATATGCATATATATTTCGCTCCCTCAAACTAAAATTTTTCATTCCATCCTTGCATTAAACTTGTTGTATAGAATATACGTAAAATATTTTAGTCATATATATTATATACCTACTATTTTACAAATAAATATAATATGACCATACACCTAATAATATAGTAAATATGATAATCGTACAAAATTAGATGAAACTACAACTTCGCCTGTCCCAAATCTCTTTTGACCAACCCTCAAGGAAAAATTTGTTTAAGTATAGTTTAGATATGTTAGGCATGTCAATAAATCTATCTTACACAAACCCAATTCAACCAATCCGTTTTTTTTTTGGGTCTTAAATTTAAACCGAAACCATATTCATCCTCAAACTCTATATGAGAATTATAGGTTTGGTCAGGGTTTGATTTTTACAACCCAAACTTAGACCCTCATCAAGACTCAAATCATATCTAAACGCACATGCATACCTTAATTATTCATTAATAATATAGTAGTTGTCTTAGAATGTTTTATTACCTAACAAAATTTTTATTAAATAGCTGAGAAACTATAACGAGAATTAACAAACATTTACAGGGGAGAGAGGGCAAAAGATCTTCTATTATATACTTACATGTTATACTCATGTTACACTCTTTGGTCAGCGTAAATTGTTCAATATCTGGTGTATTTTTTTGACCAAGTTAGTGTACACAAGGCTTACACAAAAATTGTATTTTATTGGTGTAAGTCTTACAATATTTGATATTAGTTTTGATATGCACTAACCGAGTGGAAAGACACCAAATTTTCAACAACTTACACCAAACTGAGGTATAACATGGGGGTAACATAGACTTGTACAATAGAAAATCCTTTGCTAGATAGAGAGAAGATACTTTGTAGCGTAACCGGAAGTTGGAATCCCATTTTTGCTCTGTAGCTATAACATTCTGTCCTATGGCCTTTGGAATGTAATCATGACTTCTATCTTTTCCTTGTCACTTTTGCTTTGCGAAGGAATGATGGCCATAACTACTTTAATGGTACAAGTAAAGAATCGCAATCCTCAAAAAGAACAAACTCAAAAATAATCTCATGAAGCAAAGAATGCTTCAAGCCAATTTGTTACCCCCACGATTGTTATTCTTATCGGACAAAAGAATATTGAAGTTGCCTTTTGCCTCAAAAAGAACGAATTCAAAACAATCTAGTGGAGCAAAATATGCTTCTGCCCAATTTGTTAGCCCCACAATTGCTAGATCTCATTCCACAAAAGAATATGAAGATGCAAAAGGAAAAAATGAAGTTAAAATGTGAAATAATTGAATATATTTGTCCAAATGCCTCCAACCTGCAGTCAAATAGTTGTTTACATTTTTGATATAGGTTAGATGTATAATTGTGCTGTTAGAAGGAAGTGTTTTGATCTATAGAATTAGACAAGAAAGAATAGAAGAGAATTAAAGAATTGAAAAAAGTCGAGTAGGTTCCTATTACCCTTGTAAGTGATTTCATTCCTGTAGGTACATGTCCACGATGCATACGGTATCAAACAAGAGGAAGAAGAAGGAAGAAAGTTAATGGTCAGGAAATAATAGATAATCCTCAGTATCAAACCTTACACCTCTTCTGTAGGTAAGTTTTTTTTTTTTTTTTTTAACATAAGTGAAAGGATTTGAATTCTGAACCTCTAACTTACACTCTTTCCCCTTGAACTATCCAACCCATCCCTTCCCCCAACCCTCCCTTTTGTAGGCAAGTTTAACTAACTTGACTCGAGGAATAATTAAGTCAATGGTATAACGGAAATAACTTAAAAAGGCAATATTTTGCAGAACTCAAGTGTAGGCATGTCGTGGACTTCTTAACTTATACACGAGTTCATGATGGTTCATCCATATACTACACTGGAATTAACAATAAATTTTAGAATATTTGTCTAGTTAAAAATAAAAACTCATACACTACTTGTAAGAGTACTAAGGAATTCTATAACCTTAGGATCCTTGTTCTTATAATTTTTCTTACGTTTATTGCATATTTGTAAAATAGATTTACTTACTTTACTTGTGTTAGTCTAAATAATAAAGGAGTTTGAATCACATTCTAGTAATTGATAATCATGTTTTATTGGATATACTAAATTATTTATTTTACATTTATTATGTAGTTCAGTAAATCATCTACTCATATACTATGTCAATATTCTTTTACTCTTCTAGATGTTTTTGAATTGTTTGCTAGTTGGCTTTCTTTATTTTCTCTAAAGCAAATTAAGCAAAAGCAACAATAACTTTTTATCCTCGGATCACCATTTTTGTAGTATCCATGTTAATACTTCTGATGATCTTGGAATTGGAATTAGAATTGTGAATAATCAAGAATTTTTCATTAACAGATAAATTGGGAGTAAAACGCAAAGGGACAGTTTTAGATAAAAGTGCTTTATTATTTTAATTGTCTCCATAATTCAGGCTTGGTGCTTCATTTTTTGTGATAATTACCAATATTGAATATTATTCGAGAAGAGAGTACTCAAGGCATCACTAAAAACTAAGACTAGATTCTGCTAACGCTCTAATCTAAGACTAATGACACATTGGGTATCAAAATATCCATCATTTGAGTTTAATTTTTCAATGTTTTGTCATTTTTTGTCTTTCATTGTGTCGTTTAATGTAGAGTACTTTGGGTATCACTGAAACTGAAGCGAATTATACTAACACTTCAATCTAACTAAGATGGCTGGTACTATTGATATCAAAGTATCTATATTTACAGCTATATTTTTGTTTGATTGGATTGATCTTAATGTTCTCTTTGATGATATTTGAATTGAATTTTGAAATTTTTTTGGGTAACGTTTATCATTCTTTATGTCATATCATGATTTTTTCATTTAGTTTTGATCTTTTTTTGTGTTTCTTTTTTTCTTTTGTTTACTATTAATATTGACTTGTAAATGATGCATAGTGCTATTTTAGTTATAAGACTGTCTTTTAACACGACCGGTAGATTTTAATACACTATTACTCAAAGGGATGTTTCATTTTTGTAACTGTATTCATGAACCATATTAATTGATATTTATTATTATTGAAATGTAGTAAAATGTTTCTAATTATTGGAGAAAATTGTAATTTTGATGTGATAAAACCTAGAACCAAAATTTTTGCTTATACTTTCATACTAAAATCAAATTGTGACATTTGTGTGTGACATGAAAAATTCTTCTCCTTCGTTTGAATTGGATGGA